ATATACAGAGGTAAAAGAAACAAACAAAAACAGAGTATTTTTAAAAAATTCAGAGCAACAATAATAACACAGGAATAAGCATAACAGTTTCACTAAAAAGCATAAAAATTCACAATAATCAACCTTCACATAAACAATGAGAAAAGTATAGAAAGTAGAACAGGTTTTTTTTTGTTTTTTTTTAACTAGTTAATATAGTGCAGAGAATGGTATTTATACACTTGGATCAGGGGTTGGAACTTAGGTCTATAAGTATAGTGAGAGCTTTAGCAGAGGGTATACAGAAAGAATAGAGGAAAAACTAAAGCTGGAAAGGGATAGGATAAACCTGAGATTAAAAGATTAAAGTTTAGTAAGAGAGTGATGTTTTAAAGGTCGAGTTGAGATAGGGTTGAATGGTTCTATAGTAGAGATTAAAATAGAATGAAGGTTATTCCCAATGTAAAATAAAGAAAAAATAAAATGGTACTGGAGAGGAGAAGAAGAAAGAGAGAAAAAAAAAAATTGCAAATTAGCAGTAGTAATAGTGATGATAGAGATTGAAAAAGGTAATAATTGAAAAGGTAAAATCAAGTAAGGAAAAAAGAAAAAAAATCGTTTCTTAAGCAAGGATGTAAAAAATGAAGATTAAATAAGAGATGTAAAAAATGTCAATAAAATAAAGAATAGTAAAATTAACATAAAAACGTCCAGTAGTGATCATTCACTCCTTCTGTTATTGTCAATCACTGATGTTTCTATCTATCCTCCCTCTCCCTTCCTCTCTGAAATCAATTAAATACGTGTGTATGTATATATGTGTGTGTGTGTATACGTATATACATATATACATACATATATGTACACACATACACACACACACACACACACACACATATACAAACACATATATACATAAAATATATAAAGAAGATGCCCTGGCTCGCCCATGAGGCCAGCAGGAAGGTGAAAGCCACATGGAACAGAGCCACCCGGCTGTCCTGGGCAAGATATGCCGACCCCCAGAGGCCCACGGAAGTGCTACCTGTGCTTGTTTTGTCCGCCACTGAGGTCCTGTGATTGTTACTTGGCATCACTATGGCAATAGAGAACGGATGTAACACCGACACGTATTTTCACACAGAACTGCATTCAGAGTCCTTGTTTTTGCTACCGCTAGATCCCCCTCCCTCGGACAGTCCAGAATGAGACGGATGCTCAGTAGTTTTTGGACTTTTTGTTGCTGTGGTTTTAGGGACTCGGGGTTAAACACAAACAAAAGTAAAATGTTACACATAAAACCTGATGTGAAGTATGCTCTGGCTGTTGGGGGCCCAGAAGGGAGGGCTTAGCTCTAGAAATCAGACGATAAACCCACCAGCCAACTCCTGGCTCCCAAGTCCACGCCTCCACCAGATGGCAGGAAGCTCACTGAAGGCCACAGCATGAGGGCTCTGCCTGCCTCTGGGCCAGCGGTCACCAACTTTTGTTTTCAAGGAAATCTTCCATAACAAAATGTCTAAAATTTCTACACTCAATACCTAGAAGCACCTTTCCTATTATACATGGCATTGCTATTATCAATTTAGCAGAGGTCTCCTTTTTTCTAAATATAACTGAGTCAGTTTGAGCAAACTGTCCTCTTCCACCAGACCACCTGGGCGCTTCTGTGCAATCCTGTCTCATCACCCGGGTTGGGTCAGCTAGCCCCCAGCCTCCACACCATGACATCACTGCTGTCTCTCTCTCCTCTGTCCCTCACCACGGCCACTGCTCAGTGCCTCCAACATGAAGGATGCTTCTGAGCATCGCGTGATGCTCATCCAGCTGCTGTTGCGAGCCACCTGAGAAGCAGGCTCTCCGTTTGCCACAGACACAAAGTGGAATCTGTTAGGTCTTCTGCGGCAGCAAATTACTCACAGTATTGACGAGAAAGGTGAGGCTGATTTACAGCAATCAGCACTGTTTCTCCAGTGTACTTTGAGAAGATTATTTTACATCATGGGTAAGAAAGCCCTTAACCGTGTTATGATTATTACCAGTCATAAGCAGTAATGTGGCCAGCAGGGCCCCAGACCATCTGGTATGGAACAGGTAATGCCCTACCGCCATATGGAAGGGCCGCTCCAAACTCAGTATGAACCAAAGGACAGGAAATTCTCCTTTTCTTTCATGCCAAGTCAGGGAGAGAGTCTACCTCTTTAATGACTCCTTTGAAACCCTGGACACAAGCCAGGGGTGAGTGGAGAGTGTGTGGACACAGATGAAAGAAAAAATGGTCAGTCCTGGCCAGGTAGCTCACTTGGTTAGAGCGTGCTTGACACATAACAGGCTTTGAAAAATATTTGGGGGACGGCTGAGTAGAAGTATTGGATTCTGTGAGATCAGTCCCAAAAAGGAAGGGAACTCTTACCACAAGGGGGCACCATAGTTCACCATGCCAATTAATATTTCTAGATACTAACCAACAATGCCATTTTCTCTTCTTCAGACTCAAGTGGGGTGAAATCCCTGCATCTACCATAATTAAAAATATGTTTGTTGCTAAGGTCATCAAGAAAGGGGATCTCGCTGAAACCGGTTTGGCTCAGTGGATAGAGTGCCGGCCTGCGGATTGAAAGGTCCGGGGTTCGATTCCAGTCAAGGGCATGTGCCTTGGTTTCGGGGATGTGCAAGAGGCAGCTGATTGATGTTTCTAACTATCCCTCTCTCTTCCTCTCTGTAAAAAATCAATAAAATATATTTTAAAAAAAGAAAACAAAAGAAAAGAAAAAAAAAGAAAGGGGATCTGGGTAAGCACAGCCCAATGATCAAATACCGGAAATTTGATGTCAGTGCAATGATCTGGCACACAGCCGTATTCCAATCTTAACAATGATGGCAATGCTGTCTTTCAGTGTTGTCCTTCACTCATTGACCTTCTTTAGTCTGTGATAATCCCGTAAGCCTTTTATTGCCATTTATGATCCAACCCACAGCGAAGGCAGTGGAAGCATTGGGTGAACAGAAGCCACAAGGAAAGAGGTGGAGTTCTGTGCATTTGTCTCCTATTGCACCCCACTGGACACCTCCCTACAGCAAACAGAGCTTAGAGGCAGGTAAAAATCCTCACCAAAATCTATAGGTAAACACAAGGTTTAAATCAGGGATTGGAGAGCAAGGCTCAGCCTCATGGAATGATTGGGATAACCAGTCCATTCTAACCTACTAATTGACAAAACTGATTGCCAATCGATTATTGGCAAGTAGGACTGTGTTGGAACAACTGGTTACTGAATTGCATAACAATTTAACAGGCTATATTAAGTCACAGATGGATAAAAGAATCAACTGTGAAAAAATAAAACCTTTATATACAGTGATATATATGCATATATACTTTTTTTTTTTTCCCCTGGAAGGATACTTAGAAACTGCTAACAGTGATTCCCTCTGGGAAGAGGGAGTAGGTGAGAAATTACCATCTTAATTCTAATTTTGTACCTTCTTATATGTTTGAGTTGCTTTATCTGTGGCTGTATCACATTTAAAAATATCAACCTGGGAAATGGTGTTCTAGACCACTTTGTATTCTTCTTTATATTATTTGTGAAACCGCTCGGCTCCAAAAATATTATTTCTTAAAAAAAGTGCTCACACATATGGGATCGTCAGTGAAGTACTATGCAGCTATGACGATGAATGTTGATGGACTTTTAAAGTTGTTATATATTAATAAGGCAACTATAAAATAATATGGATTTAAACTACAAACCATAAACTTTGCGGAAAAATAGAGAAAAATGAATGGAAATCAAGTGAAATAATAAAAATGGCTTTGTTTTGATTACCTCTACTTTCCACATTAATGACATAATATCGATGCAATTAAAAATAAAACGAAAAATGCCACACACAAAAAAAAGGTAAAAATGCCCTGGCTTACAGGCATGTATGAGACTCAGAAGCTACATCTCTCATGCATCCCATCATAGTCAGGAGAGCCTGACCTCCCTCAGAGCTTCCGGTTACAAGTCCGCCAGGGTGAGATGACTCACACTGCCCGAGTGTTTGACAAGGGTGGAAGTTAAGTTCTCAAATGGTAGAGACATTTAAATAAACTCTTGCAAAACACTGCAAATACAAACATATTCCTCTTCTACGCGCCCTTTACTATGGGACACAAGCACTCGAGAATTTCAAAGAAACAAATTTTTTTTTTTTACATCAAGGTTGTAGATAAGACTAGAAAGAACTTTCTCTTTCAGGAAACAGGAGATCCTAGTTCATGCCTGGGTCCTGTGTGAGCCGTGTGACCTTGGAGCAGGTAACTTATTCCCTGAGCCTCAGCCTATTCACCTGAAAACAGGGGTCACTCCCACCCATTTTCAGACCTCAACGAAACCCATTGGTGATCCAGATGCTGGCATCTGTGAGTAAAAAAAAAGCTGGCTAGCCGAAACCGGTTTGGCTCAGTGGATAGAGTGTCGGCCTGCGGACTGAAAGGTCCGGGTTTGATTCCGGTCAAGGGCATGTACTTTGGTTGCGGGCACATCCCCAGTGAGGGATGTGCAAGAGGCAGCTGATCGATGTTTCTCTCTTATCGATGTTTCTAACTCTCTATCCCTCTCTCTTCCTCTCTGTAAAAAATCAATAAAATATATTTTTTTAAAGAAAAGAAAAGACAAGAAAGGAAAAGGAAAGAAAAGAAAAAGCTGGCTTTCTAAGGCCAGGAGAGCCCCTCCATGGATGTGACCACCTGCTCGTTGGTACAAGCAACCTTTATTTCTGTGTTTAACCTGGATAAATGTTATTGGGTCACAATGGGTCAAAATGGTCCCCAGGGTTTTCCTTTCATCCTGGGAGTTGCTGAAACACTTCAGTCCCACAGAAGGGCCTCCTTGCATCATACCCCAACCTGCTAAAGGTCCACCGCAGGAATGTGAAGGGGACAGGGAAGAGTCCACTTCAGGAAACTTCTGACAGGGGAGATGCACATGTAAAAACACCAGAGACCCCAGCCCCCGCGCCCCACAGCTCACCAATGGTGGTCTCACAGAACTTCTCTGCGGCTACCTCGTTGGCAATGTTGGCTCCCATCAGCACACTGATGTCAATGCCCATCTTCTCTCGGATGATGTCGGAGATGAGTTTCAGCCCCTGGGGGCCCTCGTCTATGCCCTGGAAGGAGGTGAAGAAGTTAGGGAAAAACAAGCCACCCATAGAGAAGAGGTATGAGATCACCACTGTGTAAGTTATCTAGATTCAGACATCCAATACTATGTACATATTGAAAAACATCTCTGGCAAGAGAAAACACAGCCGCTGAGAATGTGCTGCTTAAAGAATAACAAGATGAACAGGCAGAACTACCTAGGTTAAGATACAGAACATGACCAACACCACAGAAATCCCTGTGTCTCTCCCCATCCCTTCTTTAGGGTGAACCACTATCCTAAATCCTACATGCACTGCTTCCTTGATTTTCTTTCTTTTTTAAAAAAAAACTTATTGATTTTAGAGAGAAGGGAGAGAGAAGAAACACTTATTTGTTGTTCCACTTATTTATATTCATTAATTTTTTAAAAATATAATTTATTAATTTCAGGGAGAAAGGGAGAGATAGAAACATCAGTGATGAGAGAGAATCATTGACTGGCTGCCTCCTGCATGCCCCTTACTGGGGATCAAGCCTGCAACTTGGGCATGTACCCTTGATTGGAATAGAACCCGGAACCCTTCAGTCCACAAGCCGACACTATCCACTGAGCCAAACCAACTAGGCCCTCTGTCTTCCCCTCTCTCTAAAAATATAGTCAGGTGAAGATTAAAAAAATTTTTATTTATAAAAGTAATAGGTGTGCTGTTTTATTAATGCAATTAGAAAGAGATGTCATGGCAGGTCTAACAATTATTGTAATTTCAAAGTAGCGATGAGCATAAATAACACTTGAGCTATCCGACATGACATGACTACATCCCCAATTTCTATTGACAAGAGGGGCCTAGGTCCTGCTAATAATGTTACCGAAACTCTGCCTTGTGGTTTTCCTCTGAAAACGAGGAAAATGCTCATTTTAGTTAGAGGTTCAAACTAATAAAAATGCAATTTCTCCCTCACAGTGAAGACAATGGACCTCCTGAATTCTGTCCATGGATCCGTGGTGGTGGTTTGTGGACTGCTAGTTAAAAAACTCAGTCTTCAGGGAAAATAGCATGGGAATTAATACAGACCGCTGGTGATTTCCAGAATGTGGGCGAGACCCAGGACCTGGTCGGGAAGGTTCTTTCTGACAACAAGGCCCCCCAGGAGGAGCTACCTCCAATCGGCCCGAGAAAGCAGCCTCCACCTAAATCCGAGCTTACCTAGGCTCCTGGGATGAATTTTTTTTTTTTTTAAATATATTTTATTGATTTTTTACAGAGAGGAAGGGAGATGGAGAGAGAGTTAGAAACGTCGATGAGAGAGAAACATCGACCAGCCGCCTCTTGAACACCCCACACCGGGGATATGCCCGCAGCCAATGTACATGCCCTTGACCGGAATCGAACCTGGGACCTTTCAGTTCGCAGACCGACGCTCTACCGCTGAGCCAAACCGGCTTCAGCTGGGATGGATGTTTTGGATGACCTTCTGGACATCTTTACAAAAACCAAACCCCTAAACCCTGCCATCACCTCCCCTTCACTTCCTTGTCTCCAACAGATAAAAGTGAGAGGAAGCGACATTTCCCAGGATGTTTCTAGCGACGTCTTCCTGCCTCAGTCACCATCTCGGGAGTGTCACCTTGATGAGCGTGATTCCCCGTGCTTTCTTGGGCACTTTCCCGGTGATCTCGTCGCAGATCCTGTGGATGAACTGGTGTGGGATGACGAACACCAGCATGTCCGCATCCTGCACAGCCTCTTGGAGGTTCGGGACGGCAACCTGCCATGGCGAAAAGGAAAAGGAAATGGTTATTCCTCTACCCAAACGTACCGAGCCAAGTGATGTCATTCTCAGACCCTTTATCAGATGCCTACTATGTGCAGAGCACAAGCTCTGTGCGGACAGACAGTCCAGGCAAGTGTAGGCTGTGCTCTGCCTTCCTCATTCCCAACTTGCTCCTGAAGCCAGGCGGGTCCTGCCTCTCCATGTCTCAGTTTCCTTACTTGTAAAAGGAGTTATCGGAATACTGTGTGGGCTGTTCCCTGTTGCTCCCCCAAACCATTTCCTGCCTTCTTTGCCCCACTCTGCTCCCTGGGAGCCTGCTTATTATGATCTGTTTTCTCTGGGCATCTTGCTCTCTGCCTTCCAGTTGCTTCAGCTAAAGGGAGGAACGGTCAGGGGACCCGAGCTGGGATGACCTTGCAATTTAGGTGGAATTGGCCACGCCTTTGCTCCACAGGTGACCTTTAACTTGTTCAAGCCAATGGGCACATAGAAGGCCTTGCACTGCCATGGAAGTAGCTAGTTCTCCCCTCCAATTTTTTCCATCAGATACCTGGACAAACCTAACTTCCAAAATCAGAACCCTACGAATCCTTTCTCTCCCTACCACCAGCATCAAGAATAACCATCTACACTAAGAAAAGAGAAATATTCAAATTGACCATACCTCTATGACATCCACCAGCCAATCAGGAGTGGCTATGCAAATCAACTAAACAAAGATGGCAGGTTAATTTGCATAAATAGGCACAAAAATAAGACTGAAGGGTCCGGCCCGAGCGAAGACTGAAGAGGTTTGGCTTCTCTGCTGCAGCTGGAGCAGAGAAGCCAAACCTCGCTGTGGCCAGAGTGGAAAAGCCTAGCCTCAAGGCTTGGCTTCTGCACTGTGGCCGGAGCAAAGGTCTGGGTTTCGGGTGCTGGAGAAAAACTGATGCCAGCAGCCAGGGGAAGGAAGGCCTATTGCACAAATCGTGCAACAGGCCTCTAGTAAAAAATAATGTTAAATATCAACTGTCGGTAAAAATTTATAAAAAGAATAACCATGGGAAATGCTGCCTGGCCTTAGTTCTGTGACACAGAATGGAGAATCGTCATCGTTAGAAGGCAACAGATTCAGCAGGCACAGGAGTCAGTCCACCAGGAATCAGATTCCAATCCGAGGTCTAGCTATGTGGCCTCGGACAAGTTCATTAACCTCTCTGAGCCTTGGTTTCTTCCCCTATGAAATCAGAATCATCAGCATAACAGGAACACTCATAGTTTCAACCTGTTAGAATAAAAAGGAAGGAAGGAAGAAACAACAGGCCATAATAAGAGTCGCTTTTGCTAAGCCAGGTCACCAAAACAAGACTTAATAACTAACCTAATTGCAGTTTCAGCCTCTCTGGGGAGTGGACTGTTTAAACCAATCACTCTGAATTACCTGATCAACACTAGTGAAGTAATCTGCTCTAAAATCCCCTGCTTTCCCCTACAGGACAGTGACTGTGCCTGAAATAAACCACTCTTTTATTTTATTTAAAAAATATATTTTTATTGATTTCAGAGAGAAAGGGAGACAGAGATATAGAAACATCAATGATGAAAGAGAATCATTGATCAGCTACCTCCTGCAGGCCCCCTATCCAGCCCATAACCCAGGCATGTGCCCTGACAGAGAATGGATTGGTGACCTCCTGATTTATAGGTCGACATTCAATCACTGAGCCATTCCTGCTGGGCTAACCCACTCTTTTAAGTTTCTTGCCCCACTCTCTTTCTGCCCATAAAAACCTCCCATTTTGTACAACTCCTCTGAGCACCTCTCTCGTTGCTAGGTGGAATGCTAGATGTAATTCATGAATAGCTTAATCAAAGCCAATTGGGTCCTCAAGTTTACTGGGTTGAATTCTGTTCTTTACAGAAACCTGAGAGGGTTATTGAGAGCATGGGACAATATCCGTGAACTACTTAGCATAGTGCTTAACACGAATGAGCACTGTACCCAAAGCCAAGCAACCGTCTTCAGCGAGCCAGGTCTCTGTCGGTCCCAACTCCCGGCACTTGTCAGATTACAGACCTGCCCCCACTACTGGACTCATAAGGTCATCTTACTCCTCTCTCTGTCTCCAGCCCCCAACGCTGGGCTTGGCATGCACAGTGCCCGCTCAGCCAGGTTTGGTGAGTGAATATGTGCAGGGATGGGTATTTCATTAACAAAGATGAGCTTTGCTGGATGAGGCAGCCTCGGGGGTCTGGTTTTCAAATAATTGCAGAAAGCTACCAAAGGGTGACCCTGGCAACAGAAGTTCATAAACTCCACTCAGACAAGCAGCGGGGTACCCTCCTTTGGTGTCACATACTCATTTCTTCCTCCCCCTCAAGTCACTGGAATGAGGCCATGTAAGTAACCTATATATTTTCCTTCCCAGATCTAATAAGCTTGAATTTTAAACGGTCAGTCTTACAATTTTCTATTTTTTTTCCCCTCCTGATCTTCTGTAATTTAGCCCTTGACCCTGACTGTAATTACAGGCCAAGGTCAAGTGTCCTAGGGAGTGGATCAAAGTCCACGTACCCAGAAAAGATATATTAGGAAATACCAGGGGACACAAGCGGCCAAAGGCAAGGTTGTTAGTCCAGCTTTGATGGGACCTGCACTTTGAATGCTAAGACAGTAACCTGTTATGAGCCAAATTGTGTCTCCCCGAGATTCTTAAGTCATAACCCTAGTATCTCGGAATGTGACTTGTGTTTGGAAACAGGGTCTTTGTAGAGGCAATTAGGTTAAAACAAGGTCCTTAGGAGACGCGCTAATACCATGATTGGCAAACTGCGGCTCGAGAGCCACATGCAGCTCTTTGGCCCCTTGAGTGTGGCTCTTCTACAAAATACCACGGCCCGAGGGAGTCAATTTTGAAGAAGTGGCATTCGAAGTTTAAGTTTAAAACATTTGGCTCTCAAAAGAAATTTCAATCGTTGTATTGTTGATATTTGGCACTGGTGACTAATGAGTTTGCCGACCACCCCCTAACATGATTAGGACACAGACAACACAGAGGGAAGACCATGTGGAGACACAGGAAGTGTGGCCACCTACAGGTCAAGGAGAGAACTTCTGGAAACACCAAACCTACTGACATCTTGATCTTAGACTCAAAGCCTTCGCCATTGTGAACAAATAAAATTCCGTGGTTTAAGCCATCTGGTCTATTGTCCTTTGTTATGGCAGCCTGGAACACTAAACCAAAGCCCATTTCAGAGTCTAGAAAAACCAAAACCTGCCAAGCAAAGAGCTTGGCAGGCGGAAGGAACTGGAGAAGAGGGAAAAGGCTTTTGTATTTCCTCAAGTCCCAGGTGTTAATTCAGGTAAACGTAGCTTTCTGACGTAACCAAATGTACTTTCCATCCTACAGCCTTACCACATTGTCCGGCAGCTTGTGTCCAGGGAGATATTTCACATTTTCGTGGTCGTTATTTATGATGTCTGTCAGTTTTCTCCCATCAACCATTTCTTCAAAAACCCACATCTTGACCGTGGAGGAGAACTTCTGAAGCGTCTTAACATTGTTACCAATTATTTTTGCAACAGCGGAACCCCTACAAGAAACAGAGGTAAAGAAAACAAAATTAAATTCACTTGGGCAGAAGAGAAAAATACATTAGATTCCACTTCAGAAGCCTCGCATTCTGGTTCTGATTCAAGCACCGAACGTGCAACTCAAGATGTAATGTCAGCCACGAGCCATGCAAAACAGTGGTTTTCAGGGGGGTGGGGGCATGAGTGGGGAGGGGTGGAGGATGGGAATGGGGGGATGAGGACAAGTATGTGATACCTTAATCAATAAATAAATTAAAAAAAAAAAAACTTAGTGGTTTTCACCTGCAAATACCATCCTTGTGATCAGGAAAGCCCCAGAATTAGGTACAAGGTCAAAAAGCACCACCCCTGCCGAAACCGGTTTGGCTCAGTGGTAGAGCGTCGGTCTGTGGACTAAAAGGTCCCAGGTTCGATTCCGGTCACGGGCACGTACATTGGTTACGAGCACATCCCCGGTGTGGGGGGTGGTGGTGGTGCAGGAGGCAGCTGGTTGATGTTTCTCTTTCATTGACGTTTCTAGCTCTCTATCTCTCTCCCTTCCTCTCTGTAAAAAATCAATAAAAAAATATATTTAAAAAAAAAAGGCACCACCCCTTAAAACTAGTAAGCATCAACTTATCTTGGAAGAGAGGATCTCAGGGAGAGAAGAAATCCTTCTAAGAGATGGAATAAAAATAACAAATGTAGCTACTGTAAGTGCCCTTTGTCTCCTTTTTCTTTATCCCCTCCTTTCTGTGGCCAGAAGACAGAACGTGATTGTTGGAGCTCCAGCAGCCCTCTTGGGCTGGGAGGAGATCTTACAGTAGGAGTAAAGATCACACGCAGCAAAGTAACAAGAGAAGGAGCCTGGATACTGATACCATTGAGTAGAGTTGCCATGACAGCTCCCGATGGCCAACTCCCAGATGATAAGCTATGTTCTGGGGAACGGCAGTCATGATGGAAAGATAAGAACCAGAGTGGATTCCAGAAAAAGAGCAGAGTGAGAACCCACTTTCTGGGGGCCTGAGTGTTTGGTCCCCCCAGCAGACATCCAGCTGGCTCCAGCCCAACGAGCTACCATCTACTGCATCTCTACTGACCAAACAATCTGGTAACGAACCAGTTGCCCCTAAGGCTTTCCAACAAGGGAAGAGAAGGCACTGCAACTAGTTAATGCCAGTCCTCCAGACAAGGACCAAGGCTCTGCTGCTAGAGACCATGACAGAGGAGTTCATGGTTGGTCCAGGGATCTGTGCCCACCTCATTGCACAGTGGGCCAAGGATCTGCCGAATGGGCCACTGATTGGTCCAGGGTTGGGCTGATAAGCTTCTACTGTAGGACTTTGAACAAGAGAAATAGTTTGTTTCTTGGACAAGTTTCTTGGTGTGATAAGCAAATGAAAGAAAGGTAAACATCACTTTGCAAATTCATGTGTTAGGACGGTCATTGCTTTTTTCTAATAAGAAACTGAGATGAATTCTAAATTTGGTGAAACACAATTTAAGAGTATAAAATTATAGTTTAATTCTTTAATTTTCTCAAGAAAACTTTTTTGTTGCTTTCATATCCCACAGTTGAGTAAAATCATGGTTCTTATTAGAGAGAGAATTCTATGCTAAATTAATTCACAATTATTTTCTGAAAACAGAGGACTGATTTTACATCACAGATACATTAAAAAAAGTATTAACAAAATTCCTTCACTGATGACAATACACTGTGTAATGAGCCCATTTAATAACAACAGAAAATATCTGTGATCAATCAAATCGGAGGAACTTAGAAGAAATTTGAAAACTAGGAAATGTTGCATTCCTGTTTTTGCAATCTTACATGACAGTCAATTCTGGAGACAATTTGGTGGGATGAAGGAATGGGTGATATCAGAAGTGGGCGGGGCCTAAGCAGACAAGAAGAATATACTGGAGATCTTTATCCTTACTCTCCAATAAATCTCAATTATTCTAACCCAACTCTAATTCATCCAAGCATATATAAACCTTTGTGTTTTAATAACCAGAAAAATTCAAATAATCATCTCTATACTAGAGGCCCAATGCACGAAGATTCATGCAAGAATGGGCCTTCCTTCCCCTGGCTGCCGGCACCACCTTCCCTCCAGTCTGGAGCAACCTTTCCACCTTCTCACACTGTTCAGAGTTGGTGTGGAGCTGCTGCTGTGGTGTGGAACGCCCTCTACCACTCGGCACCTGTATATTCAAATTAACCCATCTTTGCTGGGTTAATTTGCATACTCACTCCTCATTGGCTGGTGGGTGTTGTGAAGGTATGGTCAATTTGCATCTTTCTCTTTTATTAGTGTAGATTAGGTTTTCCCATTCCTGAGATAGAATGGATAAGCTAAGCCAGTGGTTCTCAACTTTGGCTGCTCATTAGAATTGCCTGGGACATCCCCAGAGTCCCAGGCCACATCCCAGGCCAACGAAATCGGTTCCTCTGGAGTGGAATCAGTCATCAGCAGTTCTTAGAGCTCCCCAGGGACTGATGTGAGCAGCCAGGGACTGAGAATAGCAGCTCTGCTGAATGATCTAGAACGTTGGTGCCTCCTCCCTCACAAAAGAAGAGTATCAATAGCAAAGTTCTTAGGCTTTACCAGTAAAACCCTTATTTTATGCCAGCAGGATAGTTTATTCGCTAAATACCCATCGATCCAATTCTCCTCCTGACACTTTGTAAAAAAGAGGCTGAGAATCTCCTCACCATCACTCCTGCCTTTATTCTCATCTTGGAAATAGCTGCTCACGTCCTCACAGCAAGATCGCAGCTCAGCAGCAGCAGCCAGGCCCAGAGCAGCAACAGCCAGGCCCAGAGCAGCCAGGTTCTGAGCAGCCAGGCCCGGAGCAGCATCCAGGCCCGGAGCAACATCCAGGCCTGGAGCAGCCAGGCCCGGAGTGTTGTGGGGTCGAACCCTGGGTTCAAAATGAAAGAAGGAGCAATGCAGCCAATTCGGGTGCCAGAGTGTTATGTCCGTCATCACAATGGACTCAGAGAAACTCCTGTGTTCCTTCACTCAAAAGGACTGAGACTTGCCCAGACGACAGCAAAGTGGGAGAAGAAAACTGAAAGCTACGCAAGGGACTGAGGTGCCAACATGGAGTCATCTGAAGAAATTAAGGACTGAATTAATCATGTTCCTGCTCATGCTAGCATCTGTTAGCTTTCAGTCTTCTGTAGCAAGTCCAAGGACTCTGAGTAAATCTATACCAGCAACAAGAGACTCATTTATTTAGTAGCTAAAAATATTAATATGTCCATAATTCTGATTTCTCATTTTGTTGTTTTGCATTGGCATTGTTGTTATTTAATAGCCAGAGTTCTGCTCTTGACATTCAAGTTCTGAAAATAACATGTATGTAATAAAAAAAAAAAATCGCAGCTCAGACTCAGGGTTCCCTGACATTAAGTAACACACACAAGATCAACAAGAGAGGAAGCATGATTCTGGGAAATTGAGCAAATTGAGGGGGGGGGGGGGCGCAACGACTCTAAGACATCAAGAATCCAAGTCAAATAAATCAAGTGGGAAAATAAACCAAACCACAGAACCCTTCCCTATGATACTGGAGTACACTCCCTTTTCAGCCCCCTGGTGGGGAAGCCAAGCACTTATTTACAACCAGAGGCAAACCTGTAGCATCCGCTGAAATGACTAAGTTGGAAAAATTTAGGTGAACATTATAACTATTAAGAACTAAGACCACCAGACCATGCCTGTGCATCCTTTGGGGTGTGATGGGGCATACGAGGACAGGACAGAAGTCAGGGAAACACCAGTATATATATATATATATATATATACACACACACTCACGTGAGGCCAGTAGGACCTCATGCTGTCTCCTCCCTAGTCTCCTCAATAACATCACTCACTCATTTATCTCAGTTATCGAATACTTACTGAGTACCTTCTGTCTGAGGCACTGGTGTTACAACAGAGAAAAGGCAATGCTTTTGCTCTCAAAGGCTTACCAGTCACTCAGAGATATATAAGGTAGAAGGAATTCCCAGTTCTGTGTGGGACAAGAGGTGAAGGGAAATGGAGGGACATGTGGTTAGACGGGTAAACCCTGTGATGGACTTCAGCTCACAGGACGCAATCAACTCAACTCATGTTAACCCATGAGAGGTCTCCCGTGCTGGGCCTTCTGTTGGGAGGACCCTGATGGACAGACCCCAGCCGGGGTTCGGGGAAGGCATGGGGATCGTGCTGAGGAAGACTGTGCCTCTGCTGGGAAACAGAAAAGGCTTCATGAATTAGGAATGGGCAGAGCAGGCAACACCGAGTTCCCACCCAATACTCACTAACTGCAGACACATAACTAACCCCAGCCAAGCCAAGAACCACAACTGTGCTGATGGTTTCCCATCTTCAAATCCATCAAGTGATATACATGAAACATAACCAATGTTTTTGATATAAGCATTATACCTCCATAAGGCTACGAGTATATTCCTTTTTTAGCTCTGAAATGGCACTAAGTGTTAATACTTCTGACCAACACGAAGAAGCAGGAGCAAACACAGCAAAGGGAGTGTTCTGGAGGAATCCGAGTATGTTGGAGGGACTGGGGTCTACTTGCAAGTGGTGGACCCTGTTCTCAGGAAAGTGACTGGCCTGCAGAGGGCCAGTCCAAAAAGTGCACAGATGCATTGGAACTCAGCTTAAAACAACAGTGCTGACTGCAGCCTCTGAGGGCAGTGTGTGTAGCTTGGTCATGGTTGGGGTCCCCTGGCCACAAAGGAAGCGTTTCTCCATGAAAGAGACTAGAAAATATTAATTTGGAAGTACTGGGGGCCAGGCAGGAGCCAGGCTCAAGAGGAAGGACTCCACCCCACTCCAGCCTTGCTATCCCTTTTATTCAAATTGTGGGATATACCCATGGCCCTTAGGCAGGCAATTCCAACAATAGCCAATTAGCAAGGATTTACATCAAACTAAAAGATGGAAGTTGTGTTAGCTACCATTGTCTCAACTAAATAGTGGGTGGTTGGCTC